ATATATAAAAGAAAAAAAAATTTTGGGGGGGGGGGGGGGAAATGTCTGTTTTAGTTCTTGCCACAATAAATAATTATTTCAAAAGCTGTCTCACTTGTTTTAAGTAAACAGTAATTAAACAATGTCATGCTTACTACAGATGTGGAAGCAAACACCAATCAGTAATTTTAGGATTCCTTGGCTAGCCTTCTGTTATTTTATTGGAACTTACTGAATCTTCTGGAGGTCTCTGAATCTTCCCCCAGTCTACTGACGGTCCTTTTTCTTGCAAGAATCTGTGGAATAGCTTCTTAAATCCATCCAAGTCTTTTTTAGTGTGCTGTAAAGAAAAATAGCAAAAGCACATTTTGTTTTTAAAATGGTTATTTTTGTTATTTTATTTCATTGCAAAAGCATTCTTCAAAACCTGACATACAATGATTCTCACACATGCTTTTCACCCAACATTTAAACACAGGCAACTCTAGGGTGAAACATGAGAACGCTGCATAACAGCTTCAGGCAGAAAGCACAACATACTTTCTCCAGTTGAAACAGCTGACAGTTTTTGCACTGAAATTCTGCCAAATATTTTAGCCTAGGTGTCTCAAATTCAGTTGTGAAATAAAAGTGGTTTAATTTTCAAGAGGTACCACCCACCTATAAATCCCAATAAAACTGATGATGCTGAGTATACTCTGATTCCACTAAAAAGCAAGACACTCTGACACACAAAACATGAGGCACTTGGTTTTGAAAATTTTAGCCCATACCATTACCCTAAGTTAGAGTTTGGCCTGGCCCTAAGGGAAGACATTCCAGCTTACTGCAGAACTTGTTAAAATTGCTTGGGACTACTAAAAATAAGTTCAGTAATAATTCTGTATCACCTAGATTTTCCACTAAAGCCTCCCATTTACACTGCATCTCTGTATAACTCTTGTTTGTTGGAGACCACATAGAATTACAACATATTTAATTTTTTAATTTTATTTTATTTCTTTAAATAAGGGCTATAACTGTTTGACAACGCAACTGCTTCCCTATATCAGGCATACTTTCATTTACAAGAAAAATGCATGAAAAACTTGAAAAAAAATACTTTGTTAGGTTTTTCCAATAAAGTCTAGAAACTACAGTTTCACACTGATTGCTAAAAATGTCAATATAAATCAACTTATTATAAAACTATAACATCAAGGAGCCATTAATAAGTCTATCAATTTAATGGCAATCTTAATTACTTTATGATTTTTTAAAACTGAGAAGTGTTTCAGTCTCATTGTGTGATTACTGAAGTTTACTCTCCTCAAACAAAGGAGCAGGTGAAGAAGAGAAAGCTTTGTTTTTTCACATGCATCCAGTCGCCAGTTTAATAGTTCATTCCATTGCTAGTGAAGAGTATACCATTCCTTCACAACTAGCCCTTAAGATAAACTGTATGTCTCTTCCTATATTTACCATCTTACCCTTTTCTTCCGTTTTGCCAGTCTTTCCACACAAACAAGTCACTTAAATTAAGAAAAATGATATACTCTTACATTATTGAGGTTACATCCTCACTACAGCTCTCACCTCTAGCTCATTTGAAGGTGCAGTTGCAAGTATTTTGTCAAGTTCTACTTTCATTGAATACTCCAACTCTTGTCGGATGACTTCTTGAAACTGAGAAGTGCCAGCTCGAGACATTGCTTTACTGAAATCTTTAAACGCCCAAAAAAAAAAAACAACAACACACAAATGCACACAGATTAAAGCATGGAAAATGCATAACCTGATTAAACTACAAAACATTGTTATGGATATTTTTCCTGTTAAAAGTGATTTTAAAAACAAACACGTCAACCAGCCTTATATGGCTCATGCATGAAAAAAATGGCCATTAAAATTCCTCTAGTTTTCCTTTTAGCACTTTATGTGTAAAATATTTTAAAAAGGGGAGAGAGAGAGAGAGAGAGAGAGAGAGAGAGAGAGAGAGAGAGAGAGAAACTAATGTTATGAAACCTGTTGTCAATATATAATTATTTGTGAGAAGAAGCTATTGAATTACTCTGAAAGTACAACTGTACCACTAAGCTATTAGACTACTAAAGAAAACACAGTTTTTCAACTGTGCATATTCATTTTTCATGGCACCTTATTAAAATAGCTTCTTTAAATAAAAAGTAATAAAAACATAAGTTCCAGTTATCTAAAAACTTTCATACAGTGTTCTGTTAGTTCCAGTAATCTGTCTACATCACATATCTTTATCTCAAGAGCATTTTTATATTCTAATATGCATTTCAGTTACCAAGCAACCTGAAGAATTAGTTTGTCACTTCAGCATTTACTTTGCTTTTGAAAGCAATGGCTTTACACTTACAAAGATATAGAACCTAAATGATCCAAGTCTGAAAACCGAAGCACAACATGCCATTGGAAAGAACAGAAATTAGTTGGTCACTTGTTTAAAAAAAACAAACCATCACTGTTACCAAAGCAAGTGTTTAATAGGAGTGCATTCTCAGAAGACCTTGGTTAATTTAATTTCTGCTGAATCCCTTATGCAATCACTTGTCTGCATCAGAGAAAAATGATCTATTGCCAAATAAAGCTAGGATTTAGAAACACCCTAAACAGTTCTATGAAGAGAAACAGAAGGAAACTGTTGCAAATAAGCAATGGGATAATTGATTGCAAAGATGATTAAGGAGGAAGCTATGTTTAAAAACCAAGATCTACATATTAAGAGCATCGATTAAAAGGATATTCCATCAAAATGTGCTGGTGTCATGTCAGAGGCAATCCATGTAATATAGTTTTCATTTGTGTAGAGCAGCATCACTGTTTCAGACTACAACGACACTGTCTAATTCCAGCTTTGAGGCTCACAGTAGCCATTTTCCTGACTGCACCATCTTGCAGGTAGGAAAAAGTGCTGCAATGCATATAGACTGTGGTGTTACAGCAGGGGAATTTTAAGTTGAAAATGCTTCCTACAATACATAATTGCTTTGAAAACAAAGCGTTTAATTTATAGATAAGAGCAGAACATATTTCAAACCTACCATGCTCCCTGGTTAAGAATGTGGAACTGTGCAATAAGCTTTTAAAAAAAAAAAATCTGGAATTTATTCCTACAGTAAAATAGTTTAGTATACAGCAGTTTAATGCTTTACTGTTATAATTCTAAGTCCTTCCCAAGGGTTAAAAAAATGTAGCTGCTTCCTTTCAGGAGTTTAAGCAGCATACCAAGATGCAACATACCTGGTAGGCATTTGTAGCCCTGCTTTCAAATATGTCAGGTCTCCATTTTAGTACAAACTACAACTTTAGGGCCCACTTCTTGTGGCTCAGAACCCTGTACTTACATGTAACTGAATGCAACATAATAAATACCAGAAGAAACACTGCAAATACCTCAGATAGGATGTAGCGAAATAAATTAGGAAAGTAATAGTAACAACATTAATATTGCTGTTATATTTCACAATAATAATAGCAGCTACATTTAGAACTGAGCCTGTTAATAGTTTTCCCTGTCACTTATGTAGGAAAACCTTGTAAATTCACACTGACCGAGAAATCCAAATTACAAATCCCTAGATGTCGTAAATCAGCAAATAAATTAACAGATCACAAAATATTGTTACACACAACTATGTATTATGAACACTTGCAAGTAAGCATAGCCAAGTCTTAATACTAAATCTTCACTAGATGTATTTTGTTATTATATGCTTGCTGAGAACAAGGTGAATATGCTACTTTGTATGTACACAACCTATTAATGAGCAGAATTAAGTTCTGACTGAATAGGCTCTCTTCTAACTCCAGACAGCCTAAGCCACCAAGACTGAAGGCCGGATCAGTCTATGCTAGGCAAAAAGATGTTGTTTTTTTTAAACACATTAAATCACAGTGTGAACAAGGTTGGTTCACTTGTTAGCTTGTCAAAGGTTTACCTCAACCAGCTAACAAAATGTGAACAAAAGTTCTTTATTGGGATGGAGTTTAAGTGAAGATATGGCTAAAATATATGGGATGCAGATATTGATACTGCAACATATACATTTCCATCTGAAGTGTGGCTGAATTTGAAAGCCAGCATAATGGATGAGGAGGAGGAAAGATTTTGAAAATGGACAGTATTGTAAAAAAACAAAAAACTACTACCAACACCAAAATACATGTGATGTACATACTTAAGATCCCATAATAATGAAGTGGAATGCTAGGATATGACAATGAAAATAGTTCTTGCTATGATTTACCAATTTATTACTATTCTGAGTTTCCTTTCTGTATAAAGTAAGGCTGAAAGAAGTAGGATTATTTAGTGTGGTAAAAAGACAACAGAGGAGGGGGAAGGGTCAGGTTGAAGTGGCAGAGTTGGTTAACAGTTCAAACACCTGAAGAGTGATAGAGAGTGCGCAGATGGGCATTTCTGTGAGCACAGGATACAGGACTAGGAGCAATGGCCTCAAGCTGCAACAAAGGAAATTTAGATTGGAGATTGGGAGGAACTTTCTGATTATGACGGTGATAAAGTTTCAGAACAGGTTACCTAGAAAAACTGTAGAATCTCCATCCTTGGAAATTTTCAAGAGCAGGTTGGACAGAGACTTCGCTGGGATGGTTTAGCCAAGGATGATGCTGCCCCAAGGGAAGGGCTGGACTAGACGACCTTATGAGGTCCCTCCCTGCCCTATTTTCCTATGATCCTCTAAAAGTTACACTTTCAGTTTCCCCAGTTTGAAAGTGAGAATGTATTTATGTTGTACATTAAGAATATTACTATTTTAGCCAAAAAAAATAAAATAATCCCTTTGACGGATTGAATTTATTGTAATTTAGTCTAGTAATATCAGCAAGGAATTATGAAGACTTTCTGGTTAGAAGATCAGGACTTGTGGTAGAGGCGATATCTTTTATTAGACCAACTCGATTTTTGCAAAAAAACATTATTTAATTTTAAGCTTTCAGGCAGAAACACCCTTCTTCAGGCAGAAGAGAAAAGACTGTAAAAGTTCTCCTGGGTAGAAATGAAAGGTCATACTTCATAGGATAGTTAAAGGTGTGGTAAAATCTCTTGTTTAGAACAGTTCATTTTATGCAGATTAGGCTCAGAGAAAAGTTAGAATAGTCTGTTTACCTCGAAGTTGTTTGGTGGTAAGCAGAATGTTAGAAGATTAATTTTTGTTAATTCTTACTGTTAAATCTATAAAGGAAAGCGGCAACTCTGATAAATTGCTGGTCTCATTAAAAACTGTGTACACACTTACCACTGTATCTAGAACAAGATCTTGCTTTACATTTTTTTTTAATTTGACAAAGTATTTGTCTACGTGCTAATGCCTAAAGGAAACATGCAGGTAAATACTCGTCATTCACTTGAAGATCTGTTTCTCATGCGGGATTACGTTCGTGTCTGGTGTTAAAAGAATGCTTCACTGCTTTACTGAATTGGGTCCAGAGCCCCATGTTTTCTACCAAATGATGCGTAAAATCTTGGGAAAGAGAGGAAGCAATCTTCCTTGAATGCAGCTCTGTATTAGAGTACTGTTAGCTAGTACGTTCTGCTGCTTTTAACATCCAATTACAAGCCAGAAGATTCTTCTGTTTTGTTGTTACTAAGAAAGTCTAAAAACATAACCAGGGTTAAGTTTAAGCAGGAGCTCACCATGATTTACCAGGCCTCTGCAAGACAGTCCCATAGATGCATCAGCTGCTGTCACTGCTCAAAATGAAACAAGTCCCTGCCCGTTTCATTCTGCAGCTCCTGCTCCAGACCTTTTGGGAGGATGCACATAAGGAAGTGCTAGCTGCCACTATATTTCAGGATCTGTATCAGTAGCCTTTCACTTTTACCTAGACATTCATTTCCACTTCTAACTTTGACAACACTAGAACCCTCATTCCACAAAGCACGCAAGTAACACCATACACAAGGTGCACCACCGGCTTTACTGAAGTGATTCAAGCTGCAGTACTCTGCTTATATGCATACCAGGTAAGTGCTCAGTTTGCACTAACTGCATTACTTGCAGATGACACCAAGCTGTGGGGAGCAGTAGATAAGCTGGAGGATAGGGCTAGGATTCAGAGTGACCTAGATAAATTGGAGGATCTGACCAAAAGGAATCTCATGAGGTTGAACAAGGACAAGTGCAAAGTCCTGCACTTAGGACAGAACAATCCCATGCACCAGTACAAGCTGGGGGCTGATTATCCAAGCAGCAACTCTGCAGAAAAGGACCTGGGGGTTACAGCGGACAAGAAGCTGAATATGAGCCAGCAGTGTGCCCTTGTTGCCAAGAAGGCTGACGGCATACTGGGCTGCCTTGGTAGGTGTGCTGCCAACAAGTCAAAGGAAGTGATTATTCTCCTCTATTCAGCACTGGTTAGGCCACATCTGGAGTACTATGCCCAGTTTCGGGACCCCCACTACACAAAGGATGGGGACAAATTGGAGAGAATCCAGCAGATGATGATGATGATGAAAGTGGTGAGGAGGCTGGGGAGCATGACTTATGAGGAAAAACTGAGGGAACTGGGCTTATTTAGTCTAGAGAAGACTGAGGGGGACTTAATAGCAGCCTTCAACTACCTGAAGGGGGGGTCAAAAAAGGATGGAGCTAGACCACCAGTTTT